TCTAAAAGTCCACCAACCTCCTCTGAAGAAGTAGACACTCTGTATGGGCAGACTCCTGGAGACGGACCCAACGTTTCTGGAGTCGTGGTTGCCTCTGTCGTTCTGCCGGGTCCTGCCTCTCCGTCTGTCCTGGTCCGAGTCTTGATCCCATCGTCTGTTCCATTCTCGTCCCAGTCTCTCCTCCATCCCCCTCTCTGCCAACCTCAGACCCATCTCCATCCCCCTGTCTGCAAAGCCCTGGCCCATGTTCATCCCCTGCTCAGCCGTGGAGCCCCAGTAGGGGGAACGGCTCTGCCTCCTATGAGCCCACTGCAGCCCGTACTGCTGCCCATACTGCTGCCCATACTGCTGACCGTACTGCTGGTAATTCTGCCCGTTCTGCTGGTTCCGAGGCTGCCCTGGCTGGTAGTCGTTGCGGCGCCGTGCGGGCCTCACAGGAGGGACGTACATCCTGCCAGCCATGACAGCATCCACTGGAGACTTGAGACCCTTCCAGTCCTTGTCAATGAAGTGGTGTTTGTCGTGATGCTGAGGCGCTAGAGAAGAGAAGAAAAAACTGTAAGCTTGTAGCAACACATGCATCTACATCTGCATCTCATGATCTATAATTTGACTCAACTTACAGCTAGAGAACAGCTCGCTGATGACGCGTTCGTAGTTGTTGTAGTATACGTCAGTGTAGCGTCTGAACATTAGGGGTGGAGAGCTCTCTGACATGGTGATGCACTCATCATGGGATGGCTGGTGAAGAAACTCGTATGTGTGATACTGATCCCCTGGAGAAACCAACAAGATGCTTTATTGAAAAGATATATACTTTATTTTTTACTTCACAAGGTTATTTTTTCTATTCCATAATACATTTAAAATATGTTTTCATAAAGAAGTAATATAACCTGGAATATTTTTGCCTATCATTAGGTAAATGATTGCTACCTGTTATTAGGAACAAGTGAGTCAATGTTCAAATGTTCAAATGTTCAAAAACCGAAGATTATACAGAATATACCTGGATTTATTGTTTTATTATCAGTACCTTTGAAGAAATAGACCTTCTCCTTTCCATTGTGACCAGGAGCCGGCAGAGTAAACGCTGCGTCCACATGATCGGGAATTTTGTCAAAGCCCACGCTGATATCTCGAGGATAGTCCTCATCCATCACACCGTTATCAAACCTCCAGTACTTATTTCCCTGAGGAAGGTTTTGTGTTAATACATACACTTATTATCAAAGCAAAACAAAAGGAAATGTGCAACATGATTTATCAAGATACTTTGCTGAGTCCTCACCTTGAAGATGTAAGTCTTGCCTTTACAGTTGACGCGGGTGAAGGCAGCATCAATCGGCCCGCTGATGCCCCACACGTCCTTTATGAGCTTTGGATAACCAGGAAGAACAGTCTTTTTGTCCAGTTCAAAAAAGTACTCCCCTAGAAAAAAAACACAGAAGTTCACAAGTGTGTTTCACCGCGACAGAAACGGATTCCAATAATCTTCCTGGGGTCCAACACATTACATTATAACAGTTATTGGATTAAAAAACATAAAATAACATTCATACTCAGTTCAGAGCCAGAAAAATACTAATTACATATAGGTGATGTTTAAAAGAATGAGAATTATACAAATGTAATGAAGCGAAACACAATTATCAAAAACTAGAAAAGAGTTCAAATGCACTGCATGCCAACAAAAGCATATTCTTCTTAAAGGATAGGATGATTCATTATTATTAGGCGGATATTAAGGGGTTTGTTTTTCCAGTATGACACAGCGTTTTATTTTATTTTATTGAATTAGGCCCTGGGCAGGAACAACATTACTGGCAAATCTGTTGTTGAGGCTTTGTCTGTTTTGGCAGGAAACAAATAAAAATGTGGACCTCTTCAGTCATTAGTACAGCTGCACAATATGGCTCGCTTGAAGTTGCACTCTCTACATTTAAATATGAAGGGATCACTCACCTCTGAAGGCATATATGGAGCCATTTTTTTGTTGCATGAAGGAGTCAAAAGGCCTCCCGCTGCAGGCCATAGCGTCTGGGTCGGGGGCTTCGGTGGTCGCTGTTGTGATGGGGCCGGTGGTGGTCTCAACTGCTGCCTCAGTCACAGGGGTTTCAGTTGTTATCTGTGCAGTCGCCACTGTCTTTGATACGGGTGTTTTGCGTGTTATAGGGATTTTCTGAAGTATTGTTTCCATCAGTCGAGGGGGTCTGGTCATTTCTAGAGTTGTTTCATGTTGTTCCTGTTGTCTGCGACCAAAGTCTGAGATGGGCTGCTCGGTGGGCTTCAGCTTGTGATCGGTAGCAGTGATGGACAGACTGTGGGATGAGCGTTGAGGCGAGGGAGTGGTGCTTTGAAGAAGCTCACTATCATCATCATCATCCTCTGCAAACACAAACGTGTCCCCGCGAGCTGAGAATGGGAAGTCATAATAATGAACAACTTTCAGGATCAGAATTTGGTTTATTGCCACGTAGGTATACACATATGCTTTGGTGTATGATGGTGCATACAAGACCAAATATAGAACAGTTGTTAAAATTATGATATGCCATTTTTTTATTTCTACAGAAATGTTTGTCTCACAACATTAGGGTATCTTAAAGAGGGGTTTCTTACTCGTCATGCCACAATAGACCTTGAAGTCAGAGCAGCAGCTGTTGTAATATTTGCACATCGAGTCACACTGGCACGTCTTCTCTGAGCTAAATCCATTCTCACAGCGACTCATACACGACTCTGAAGATGAAATGACAGCGTTAAAGAAATTAGAAATTGTTTTATTCAGTATTCTTTGCACTTCTGACCAAATGAATTTGCCCTGTTGGAGATTATATATATAGGCGTTGGCAGCATGTCAATAACAAAGACTAATTGAATATGTTGCCCATTATCATTCATAGTTTTTCAGATTTCTATCTCAACATTTTAAGTGGCTGCTATTTTGGAACTGGCTAAATTGTAAAGTCAATTATCAAGCAAACATTAAATAAATATGAAAATATGCTGCTCTTTAAAGTTTAATAAAGTTGAAAATGTTGAAAACAAATTGTTTTTTGGGCTTGGGTTCGGACAAAATGAGCAATTTGAAGACATCATTTTGTATTCTGGTCATTAGTGCCATATTTTTCACAAGTATCTGGCCTTTTTTAGACTAAACAATTCATGTATTAATTTGAGAAATAATCATTAGCTTTACTGATAATGATTTACCTGTTAGAAGCAGTCTTGACTAAAGCTTTGAAAAAAACAATAAATATGTATGTTGTTAAATGTTAACGCTTTAACACTGTGCTAGTAAGCAGGACACACGGAAAAGGCCCATTATCGGGTCTTACTGAAACATGATTAAACTATACCAAAGAGTGAAAAACAACCAGTAACATTTCTCCCAATAATGAATACAAACACTTCTCTGAACTCTAAAAGTGATTTTTAAAGTTGTTCTTACCATCTGCGGCTAAAGTCAGAGCGATTAGAGCGAGCAGCAGGAAGGCCCACAGCCTCATGTTGTCTCTGCGGAGTGAGAGGACAGAATGAAGAAATAATGAAGCACTGCATGCTCACAATCATTGGAAACATGTGTCAGTCACCCCGCTTCCTTGTTTACTCTAACCTTATTTGCAAACGTCTTTCTATTGGAGCAAATAAACAGAGAGAAAGAAATCGATAGGAAATGTGACCTCTGACCCTGTTGCTTTTGAGTTTCTACTCAAATCTGTGTCATAGTGATCACAGAGCAGAGGTCTCTCTCTTCAGTTTGAGTAATGCTTCTATCCAACAGCATTTATTTGTATTTATTCTACTAAATTCAGACAAAAACAAAGAAGTATAATTCATACACACAAAATGAACAAAATTAGTAGAAGCGGGAAGGCTGAAGCATAGCTTATGGGAACAACATGAATGTGTGTTGTTTCATTACTTGCTTTCAGGAAAAGGCTAAACCTGAATGTAGCATGTAACTTGCATGTGAGGCCTCAGTGAAGACAGAGAGGGAAGCAAAGTACCTGCTGTGTCACCTAATAAAACTGTTTAACATGCGGTTACGAGCTAATTAAAGCATTTTACAGCAGTATGAAAGCGTGACAACAGACATCCTTGTCCTGTGTATGATTGAACTATAATTTGTATTGTGAAAGTAGCAGTTATATTTGCCTTAATGACATTTTACAATCACAGCAATCAGGGCCGCAGCCAGGGTTGTTATTTAAAACGTTCTAAGAAAAAACAAGGGCCGACATCAGAAACAAAGTCTCTGAATTGTTTTTATTCATTAAGTTTTACTCCATATTCTGCTGGATTTATTTCCCAATGTTAAGGTCTAAATGGTACACTGCAATGAAGGGACATTTTTATTATTGAATCTATTAAAGATGAGTTTGTCAGCTGACTTCCCTTCACGTGTTGCCTCCATGATTTCAATCATGAATCACAGTCCTCTGTCTGGTTTCAGAACAGTCCATTTTGTCTCAAGAAACCATGTGATTTTCTTCATGCTTTCAATTTATTTTGTCATATTTTTCCTAATAATTATTGTGATTACTTTTAAACAAGTTATTTTTAAAATTCCAAGTGGGCATGCATCCTTTTTTATTCATAACTCATGCGGCATTACAACTAATTAATTAATATCTGGATCCACTTAAAATTTCACAATTTCCAATCCAACAAGAAAATAATGGAACATTTACGTTTCACACGGCCACAAGATATGGGTAAAGCTTGCATGGATTTCTTGATTGAGAGAATTATATGTATTACTTTTGTGGTACTGCACCTGTAGCATATTATCTCTTTATTTTCCAATACATATATTTAACTGTGCCAGTGCTCGGTACGGCATTAATTTAGCCTTCAATACATTTAGTATGAGCTAATTGTCTTCTCGGAAATGTTGCAAAACACATTTTAGGAGCTTTTGAGCTGTGAATCAGAGGTTATTCTCCTGTTCCTCCAGCAGGGGGCCTGCAGTGTTTACATCCCTGAGTATACACTACAGAGCTCTGACCGGCTGTGGTGCAGGGACCAAAGAGGAGGGGGTACTTGTTTTCCTGTTCATCCCGGGAAGTATCCAGAGCCGGTGGGCGGTGCAGACCCCTGAAGATACAGATAGCCTGTGGATGCTGACCAGAGGATGCGATAGGTGCAGACACTACAGAGTGTGAATATATTTTGTATTTCTGCAGGGAGACGAGCTGCTACAGTGCGTTAGAAAAGGTGGGAGAAAACCTGAACAGATCTTCTTTGTCTGCAAACATAGACAACAATAGTCTGTTTTATTTTCCAGGAAACAAAGAGGATTGGCTCTCCACTTTTTTTGTGAGGTGCGGAGGAGTTGCCTCTTTAAGACCCTTCGATTATGTCAACGCTTTAAGTCGTTTTCTGGTCGGTGTGGATAAAAGAGACAAAGAAGCATCTGTTTACTATGAGCAGGCTTACTGTGACCGGCCCGAGATCTGCTGATCAGTGTTTACAGATTACTGCCAGGGATGACATCGACCAGAGAGAGGTGATGCAAATTGGTGAAAGCTGTCACTTTTGATTTACATCTGATATCAGGCCTTGGTTGGCGCATCTCTCCGAAGCATCAGATCTCTCAGAGGCCTTTGTAAAACATTTCATACACGGAAACGGACGTGGTTCTGCTGGTAGATGCTCTTGTCTCTGACGCTCTTCCTGTGGAGGCTCTATCGACATTTCTCCATCATGTTCAGCTCAGAAAGACTTACAGTCCCGGAATATGTCAGCCGGCTGCAGAGAGGGAGGAGCGGCTCCGGACCCGAGCCTAAAGCAGTGTCTCCGGGCGTCAGAGCCGATGTCCAGCTGGTTCTGGATGGCGCCCTCCCCGCCCTGCGCTGCGCCATCAAGAGGCTCAAGTCCTCGCACGAGACCTCGGATTCAGATGAGACACGGAAGGCCATCGCGGAGCTCTTCCAGCTGGTGGAGGAGGCCTGGGTTTTGCCCACTGTAGGGCGTCAGGTGGCCGAGGACATCTGCAACAGGATCCGACTGGATGGAGGCCTGGAGCTGCTGCTGCAGCTTCAGCAGAATCCTGCTCTGGAGATCACCTATGAGTCTGCAAAACTGCTGGAGCAGATACTGACCTCAGAGAACAGGTAAGCTACTTTTAAACCTTTACAGTATTATACAGCAGCTCTGCAATATGCAAGTCTGTAATATTTTATTTTATGTATTTAGGAAAAACATAATAAACCATCAAAAAAAGTGATTTGCCCAGCTAGGCATCACATGTATATTTTCCAATGAAGAATTACCCCTGTTACTCTAATTATAGTAACAGGGTTGAAAGTAACAGGGTTGAAAATCAATGCTAATTTGAGCTTGGATGTCCCGATCACCTTTTTTTGCTCCCGATCCGATTCCAATCATTTGATTTTGACAATCTGCCGATACCGATTTTTCCCGATCCGATCTTTATGCAATGCATTAAGAGAAAAAAAAGGGAAAAAGCATTCAAGTTGTCCCTTAAGGTTATTTTTATTTATTTAAATGACAGTACCCAACTATCCATTCTATCCAACATGGATATAGCTTCTTTTTTTCACAGCAGCATTGGATCAGTTCAGTTGTGCAGCATTGGATCAAAACAAAAATAAAGCTTATCAGTGGTCCATCACAAAATAACCATGTAAACAAATTGAGTGCAGATAGTGCAGTAACAAAACAAAAATAACTCTACTGGAAAGAGGTAGCTTGACTAGCTTCACAAGTTCACATTCAGTCACAAATAATAAAATAAAATAAAAATGTGGCTTAGTGCAGAATTCTAGCCTTAAGACTAACTAGTCTAGTAATAATGCAATGAACAACAGCAGCTTAACATAACATGAATAAACAAAGTATTATATTTCCATCTTACTGGAGTAACACAATTCAATAGTAATCAGCAGCAAACCACTTATTTTTGTTATTCTACAGTATTGCTGTTTTATAGTTATTTGTTAATGTAACCCAATTTGTGTTCTTTGAAATTGAAAAGGATATCGCATTGTGTTTGTTACTTTCGTTGCAGTTGTATGTGTCTTAAGTGTAATTTGTCTTGGCTTCCTATTTGTGGACATGCTTTTATTTTGAAGGAGAGGTAGCGCTGTTGACAGGAAGTTGTTGTTGCTTTGGAAAGAACGTGACGGAGATTAACGGAGAAAAGTAATATCTACATATAAAGACGGAGAAAGTAAACGATAACGTTTATGGTTAAGTGTTAGCACCCCCCGAAGAGGCACAAGCTCTTACGTTGATATTGGAGATTTCAATAAATTCAATTTGGAGAAAAAAAACGGGGGAAAAAATGAAAAAACAAACAATCGTATTAGATTGGTCGTGTTGAACGTAGCTCTGTTCTTTCCACCACGCGGAACCTCCTTCTTGCAAACATTGCATCTGGCTGTTACACTGCCTTCGGTTTCAATTTTATAATAGTTCAAAACTCCTGACATTTTCTCTGTCCCGACTCCCGAGTCACCAGCTGAACGTAGCCTCTCGTTAGCTTACTGCTACTATTAGACACTGCGCCCACTCTGTTGCCAGATTTGAGAGAAATAAGCAACCAGGTCTGAAAACAAGCCCAAAAGAAGCAACACATACATGATGTTGTGTAATTTTAAACCAGAACTAAGGCCTCAGGATGACTTTAAGACGTGAACATGGTCATTTTTGTTTTGTAACATTAAATAAAATCGGGACATCTCTATAATAACCTCAGGAATTATTGCTAGATGTAGCATGTAATGCTACTTTCAAGGCAAGGACAAACTTGGATATCTAATGCAAGAAAGATAACTTTGAAATGAATATGCTTTATTCTGATAATATCAGTAACAGGGTTGAGTGAGTCAGAGTGCCACACTCTTTTAAGACTGAAAAGATTGTAAAAATATGAAAAATAAAAGAGAGGACTTAGTTTTGGTCTACCCATGGCACTAGCACATGGCTTGCTGATGTCACTTCCACTGTGTCATCTGATTTACAGTTTTTTCACTTCCTGTGCCAATCTAAAAAGGTTTGGGTAACAGGGTTGAACCTTTATATATACAGTCTATGGGTTGAACGCATGTTGAGGGACACACCTTCTGTGCAAAATTACTGTTAAAAAAATGCCATTTAGGGGATGTTCGAGAGCTATTTGATAATTTAAATAATATTTTGAAACCACTTTTTCTAAAACTTTATATACATTTTGTCTCAAGACAAGTATGTTTAACACAACAAGTGCATGTTTTAGCATTTTGGGCATGGATTATTAGATTTTTTATATGGGGGACATGAAATGTCTCCAAAACCAACGTTTATCAAAAATAGCAAGGCTGTTTTTATTGGCTTGTACATTTTAAAGGCAGTGTTAGTGTTCTGTCTACTATTTGTATATCTATGTTGATTCTAGGGCAACAAAAAAGTCATAGAGGTCACAGCATGACATAAAAACAATAATAGTAGCCCATCCTCACAGTTGAAAAGCAAACACCTGTTTGTTCAGGAGAATCTTAAATGTTTACATTAACAGCAGAAAGTCTTGATGTCTGATTGACTTACTCAACATTTGATATCAATATTATAAACTTCTGTTGACAGGGATTATGTAGCCCGTATGGGTCTGGGGGTCGTCCTCAACCTCACTCGACATCAGGAAGATGCACAGCTGGCTCGCAGCGTCTCGGGGATCCTGGAGCACATGTTCAAACACACTGAGGAGACGTCTGTCCACCTTATCTCTAACGGGGCCCTGGATGCCCTCCTCTTCTGGTGCCGCGGCACAGACCCCACAGTGCTGCGCCACTGTGCCGTGGCACTAGCAAACTGTGCCATGTACGGAGGCCACCGCTGCCAGAGATGGATGATTGAGAAGCAGGCAGCTGAGTGGCTTTTCCCTCTGGCTTTTTCCAAAGAGGATGAAATCATTCGCTTCCATGCATGTCTGGCTGTGACTGTGTTAGCTGCAAACCGAGAAATTGAGAAAGAGGTGGTGAAATCTGGAACCCTGGAGCTGGTGGAGCCATTTATTGCATCTTTAGATCCGGACGACTTTGCCCGCAGTTTGTTGGACAGTTCAGACAACATGCAGGGCAGGACAGCAGCTGACCTGCAGCATTTTCTGCCATTACTGGATGGCACAAGACTGGAAGGAAAGTGCATTGCAGCCTTTTACCTTTGTGTGGAGGCCAGCATCAAGTCTCGTCAGGGCAATACTAAGGTACCATCACTGACCACATGTAGCTCAAAATGTTATGTATAATTGTCTGGTAGCTTTGATGTGACTTAGTTTTACCTTGTCAATCAATCAATCAATCAAAGTTTATTTACATAGCCCAATACTAATATATTTGTCTCAGTGCATTTTACAGTTTGTACAGAATATGAATACGACACCCTCTGTCCTTGGACCCTTGTGTTTATTTTAAGATATTTCAAGAGATTGGAGCAGTGCAGAGCCTAAAAAAAATGGTGATGTACTCCAGTAACGGTACAGCCTGTGGCCTCGCCAAGCGGGCACTGAGCGTGATGGGAGAGGAAGTGCCAAGACGCATCCTGTCATGTGTGCCCAACTGGAAAACCTGCGAAGTGCGGACCTGGCTGCAGCAGGTCGGCTTCAGTGCCTACTGTGACCGATTCCAGGTATGTTTTATTACTCAACAGAGAGATAATATAGGCATTTAGATCTACATATTATACACTATGCCTGACACTTCTAACATGTTTGCTGTACAGGAGCTCCAAGTAGATGGAGACCTCCTGCTGAACATCACAGACCAGGAGCTGTGCCATGATCTGGGCATAACTGCAGGCCTCAGTCGCAAAAGGCAAGTGCCACAAACCCTTCAACATGAGTCATGCAATAGCGGTCTGACAGCTGCTCTGTCTCATCCTGTAGGTTTCTGAGAGACCTGTGTGTGTTGAAGACGTATGCCAATTACTCCACATGTGACCCAAACAACATGGCTGACTGGTTAGTGGAGGTTGACCCTCGTTTCCGGCAGTACACCTACGGACTGGTCCAGTCAGGAGTGGATCGCAATAACTTCAAGAGCCTGACGGATCAGCAGCTCCAGAACGACTGCCACATAGACAACGGCGTCCACAGAGCCAAGATTCTCTCAGCTAACAACAAGCCCTTAAAACCGTGCCAAACTGATGCTCAGCCTGCAGGGCCCGACGTCTTCATCAGCTACCGTCGGACTACTGGCTCCCAGCTGGCAAGGTCAGAATTCTAACTCAAAACATTATGCATGAAAAATTACTTAAAAGATAGATGGGGATGTTTTTTAAGTTCATCTTATTGATTAGTTGTGTAGTTGTTGCAGCTCTAGTTATTAGACTTAGAGTAAGGAGAGAAGGTATGTGCAACAAAATGTACTTTCTCATTTTTGTCCCAAGCCTTCTGAAGGTGCACCTGCAGGTCCGAGGATACAGCGTCTTTATAGATGTGGAGAAGCTGGAGGCCGGAAAATTTGAGGACAAACTGATCCAGAGCGTACAGCGGGCGCGTAACTTCATTCTGGTCCTGTCCTCCAATGCACTCGACAAGTGCATGGGTGACACTGCCATGAAGGATTGGGTGCACAAGGTTGGAAGTTTTCAATTTTTCTGTATTGTATAACATATTGCTTAAAGCTTTCACCCCCATGCACCTTAATCGTATTCTGGATTCATATTGATACTTTAGCTGCTTGGGAATTTAGTTTGTACTGTCACATTCATAATCCCTATCCCCTTCCCTGTTTACATCTGTCGAACATTTTAGTGTTTTATAGTTTTTATAGACTCAAAGGAATGCTCATTAATCTTGCAGGAGATAGTCACCGCCTTGGCTGGGAAGAAGAACATAGTTCCTGTCACGGATAATTTCATGTGGCCTGACCCCATATCTCTGCCCGAGGACATGAGGTCAATTCTCAATTTCAACGGCATCAAGTGAGTAACTGCTTGCTCTTAAAACTTAAATAAACCAAAACTTTACTGTAGAAATATTTTGTTGGTTAGCACATCTGTGTAATTGGGCTTTTATTGTTGTTGTGATTCATGTAAAACATCCATTAGAGAACGTATCTGCTTTATATGCAGGGCTTAATTCTTCTTAAGGTTTTAATTGCTTGTTACCTTTGTCTTGACACAGATGGTCCCACGAATATCAGGAGGCCACGATCGAGAAGATCCTACGATTTCTGAAAGAACAGCAAGACCAAATCGACTGCAAGGATGCACCCGAAGGGCAGAAAAAGAAATAAGCTGACATTTGAAGTTTGATTTCAGCTATAATGACTTTAAATTATGCCAAATTCAACATTGCCTACGGTGAAAAGGCCGGCAGCTTTCCCCTGCTCCAAATGCATGTGAAGTGAATCTGATTATGTTTATGCTCACACAAAACCCTGATATAAATTGACATAGTATAATGCAAACAATAAATGAAAATCAAAAGGGGATTTCAGATTGTATATAATAAACTGTAAGCCTTTAATGATATACCCTCGTTCTGCTGTATATGTGTGATCAGGTACAGTATATGCCTTCTGTCTCTCAGGAAAATAACTGTGATAGATCAGCCGCTGTTGGCACCCCAGCAAAATCATCACTAGCAATCTTTGAAGCAGTTACTAATCACATGCAATCACTTTTTGTTTAACTCATACATTGGACATTCATATGACCAAAGCAGGTCTCTGACTTTACTGACATTTGTGCTTTTATGTTTGAGTTGTCATAGTTAAGAAACTTTATAGGAGATGTGGTCAATTGATGAGAGTTTCTATGGTGGGCTCAATATAAACCAGAGGCATGAAGTATTGTATAAAAAGCTACATGTTGTATAACTGCTTCCCTATTCTAACCAAATACAGGTTCAAGCAGTGTCCAGGCAACAAGAAAACCCATATCAGAAAACCCCAGTATTTAAGGATATTTTCCTACTCTGTAGTCAATCATGAGCTCACAGAAGTCAAATATGCACCGTTTACTTCTTGAATGTGAAAAAGATCCCATCTGTGTTACAGCGTGGCTTGTAGAGTGCTGATACAACATTAATCATGTAGTACTGCTGACTTGAAGTTTAATTGATCACAGTGTTAAGTCTGAGAAGTAATATGTGTCTGCTATGCCATTTTTATGTTATCCTTGTTTCCTCAGTGTAATAAACAGAATCAAATTAAATGAAAAAAAACATATGTTTGAATGAAAATAGAATTTGGTCCCTTTATTTTAAACATGATGAAAGGGGTGTTGTAAAAACATAAACAACTGATCCTCACTTAATCGTTGTGTGACATGTAAACAGAAACAGATTTAAAGGTATGGTATGTAAGTTTGAGAAACCGGCTCGAGATACACTTTTTGTTATGTTCCATGGAATGCTCTTAACATCCCGATAGCAATGAATATCTTAAGTGCTTTGACAAAAAATCCATAAAAAAATGTCATCTGTGGAAGCCGTGGTACTGTAAAAAGCACGACCAATCATTTTAGCCGGCCCGGCTAAAATAACTGGATGGCTTACCTGCCTGTCAGCCTTCCATCTGTGCACAAACTTATCTCGTGCCCTCATTGGTCATGTGTGTGTTGGAGGAGGGGCTCTATAAGAAAGTGGCAGATTTTCTCCGGTCGTGTATTTTCAAATTCTAGCGATCTCGAGCCGGTTTCTCCAACTTACATACCCTACCTTTAACCATATTATTACAAACTATCAAAATCATGATCAAGTTCTATTTCATAAATAAATCTGATGCAACTTATAAATATTGCACAATTGACAAAAAATAGGAAAAACATTTATCCTTTTATGGTTAAAGTTTTGTTGGCCCAACATTTGCATAATGGCTTTGAGAAAGTAATCTCATGTTATTCAATTCACAGTAGCTGCGTTAATACTTCATTTAACCTCTTTATCTTCCCTTCGAACATTTAAAATATGATTTGGCAGCTCTTGTTCCCTCTCTGTGCTCTGGGACTATCCTGTGTTGTTTGTGGTGGTGGGACTCTTCAGGGAGTGTACACTATGGAGCGAGGAGGGTCAAAGTGTAACCCGGTATTCCCCGGCATGCGGCTCCTATTTCACTGTCTCTGCTGTGGATTGCTGATAGTTTGGTTGCACCCTTGCTTGAAATGTTTTGGAGCAACTGAGGAGTTTGTGATTTTCCTCTTATGGTTAGCACCTTAAGCTGTTGTGTGTATTAATACATTCAAATTGAAATATAAGGCAGATGCATGTCAGAGCTGCTCACCTCATAGACTGACAACAGGACAAACGTTAGCTCTCTGACACGTTCCTGCCCTCTGCTTCTCTTAAGGTCAGGATACTGTGGAGTCTCTGTTGTCTCTCCTCTGGTCCAAACATCGCAGGGTCCTACAAAAACACACATGGAAATGGTGAATGACTAATTTTGCAAAGTGGGAATTATTCTTTTGTCATATGCTTTTTGGTCACAATTGCTTTTATGACTACAATTCACTAATAGAAAAACCACAGAAAGTTCAATAAGGCAACACTCACCCGATTATTCCAGCAGGGATGAAGAGGATGTTGGCAGCAAAAAGGAAGGGGAAGCCCTTCATGAAGTGCAGCGTGGCTGGGTACAGGGAGTTAAAAAGGCCACTGCCCACCAGGAAACACAAGCTCTCCACACAGGCAACAGAGGCAAACAGGGCGCCTGGGGAAAGTAAAAACACTATTGATGAACACAACAGTTCAAGTTAAACCAGACTGTAGAATAGCAATTTGGTGCAATTACAAAAAGGAGAACAAAACAATAGACTTCAAAACAATCGTCACATCTTGAAATCTTTGCAGTTTGCCTTGTTAAATCCACCTGTTTAAAAACACAAGTATGATTTATGCATGTTTAGTGACTGACCTTGTTCTGATTGGCCGACCAACTTGGACAGCTTTGACCTGAGCACAGGCGTTGCAGCCATGAAGAGGAAACACAGACCGTAACCTGGTGACAGAAACACATTTGAACTTTGATGCACAATAAAGACCTCCAACAGTGTCAGCTAAAAAGTTATACTCTCCATTGTGAAATGGGGACAACACATTAATTGATAATGTTTTAAATGATGTTCCATCATTTTTATGTATGTATCCTTCCTGTATGTTCTTATTCTGTCATAAATGGCGGTATTGTGCAACCATTTTACTATCCTTGAGATCCACATTACATTGCATGGGTAAACTTTTATAGATGATGTTAATTATTCCCACAGGGTATAAGAAGTGACTACTACGTTTTATATGTCCTAGTATTCAAGGTTGTCTGCTAACACAAGGCCTGCTAAGTCTGTGAGTAAAACACACATTAAATGGATAATCATTGATGCAATCTACTACATGCTACACTCTGATACTGAATCTACTATTTTACTGTAAGGGATAATCCTAAAATAGATTGTTAGTCCTCGACATCATGTCTTCATGCCATGTTTAAGGATAAATATGTTTGATAAATACTCATTTCTTTGCTTAATTTCGTTCAAGAATAGAACATATTTTAGATAGAAAAACAAGAACAAAATCATCCCCCTCACTCCAGATTCTCTCACCTGTGAACATGAGCTGTGTGGTGTCAGCGACAGAGAACACCACCAGCCCGATGACGTTGGAGACCAGACCCACGAGAGCCACCCAGGAGTCTTCCAGGCAGCGCTGCATGATCTTCAGCCCCAGAAGACTGCTGAGGTAGGCCAGGTTCTGAGCTGCTGATCCATAGCCAATGAGGGCCGACCCCCAGCAGAGCGGGGAGCTTAGCTCAAACAACACGTATAACTCCCTGCTGCCGAAGTGTACAGTCACCACCAGAAAGAAACACAGCATGTAAAGCCATAGCTTGCATCTGTGAAATGTCCCGCCGGCGTCACTGGTACTACCTCCTTTTGAGAAGAGGTGCCAGATAGCTTTATAGTGGCAGGAAGTGAGGAGCTTGGCACTGGGGTCAGGCACGACCGACTCACGGACGAACAGGTAAGCGTACAGAGCCGAGGCCAAGTTTGTGGCTAGGACGAGCCAGAAGGGATTGATGTACCTAAAAACAGAGGTACAAATATAATGGAAATGAATGTCAATCTAAATAGATTTGATTTTGAAAGAAAGTCAATTGTTGTGAATGATACTTTTTTGTATACTGTGGCAATTGAAAAATTCAATTTCACAATTATCCTTGCCACAAATATTGCAATGATTATTACTATAATGGAAACTCACCATGATAAACCTATTGATTTTTGATTGTGCATTTTTATCTGCATTCAATCCTAGATGGTCTAATCATTAGTAACAACACAGATTTCTTACCCCTGTGCCTGCCGCCACTGCCCTCCGATGATGCTGGCTAGCATCCCTGAAAGGCCCAGACAAGCCTCCAAGATTGCCACCCTGATGGTGCGGGACTTTCTGTCGCTGGTATCAGCCACATATGCAAAGCAGCCTGCCAGGATGGCGTTGAAATCCCCGGAAAGGCCGCTTAGCAGCCTGCCAACTAGAAAGTAGCCCACAGGCAGCTTCAGGTACATCACCACCAGGTAAACCACCGCTTGGAGGGCCAGGCCAATGTTGGGGAGGATGAGGATGGGTCTTCGACCAGCGAGGTCGCTCCATGAGCCCAGCAGAGGCACCACAAACAGGCCTACAGAAAATCCCCCAAGACTGATGTACAGGTTCCAGTGGGCAGTCAAGATTTCCACCTCCTGCAGAAAAAGAAAAATGGGACCTGGTTAACTACACTCATCAGCAAACAAAGGGACTCATGTTACTGTTTGTAACCCATAATCACATTTCCTTTGCATTCTAATTGTATTGTGTTCTTAATTAGATGGTACAACACATCATTAAGGTTCTAGTAAATAGCACGTTTATTACTGCCTATTGTAGTGCCGTGAAAAGAGAGTCGGAGGCGGTGTATTAAGAATGGAGTTCCAATCTTTATTATCCATTACTTTCAGAGAGGTTAACACATGCACTGCTCTGCCTGATGAGCTAGCAGGAATGGCAGCTAAAGCTACAGGTATTCCCCACTAAAGGGTCCGTGTGGCAACACAATAAGCAAGGTGAATTATGTCCAATAACGTGTCACCACACAAGCCCCCCCAGAATTCACACATAAACAAAATCAGCATGGCGGGGAGGAACGACACGCCAACCCCCACGACTCCTGAGCACGGGAGTCGGAAAAGTGACTCCCGCCTGTGCGGCCCCCGGAAGGGGAGGGACCGGAACAACAGGTCTTAAATCCGTGACAGGGGACGAGGCCGGGGGGCGGCCCCGTCGCGGTGGTCGAGCCAGCACCACAGGCTGGTCCAAGTCCAGGTGAGCAGCCTTCACCCGGTCCACCGAGACGTGCTCGGCCTTGCCACCCAGGTCGACCACCAGGTGCTTGTCCCCGTGCTCCAAGACCCGGAAAGGCCCATCATAAGGGGGCTGCAGGGGAACTCTGTGCGCATCGTGCCGGATGAACACGTGCTCCGCCGAGCGGAGCTCTGCGGGAACCTGGGACACCTGAGTACCGTGCTGAGTAGTAGGGATCGGAGCAAAGGCCTCAGCGGCGTCACGCAGGAAAGCCCGCTGGGCCGACGCCGACCAGGGAGCCGATGCATTTGGGAGGAAATCCCCCGTAACTCTCAGCGGCTGACCGTAGACCATCTCCGCTGTAGAACACTTCAGATCTTCCTTAGGTGCGGTCCTCAGGCCCAGCATCACCCAGGGCAGCTTGTCGACCCAGTTACCGTCCGTAAGGCCGGCCTTGAGGGCCGCCTTCATGGAGCGATGAAAGCGCTCGCAGAGGCCGTTAGCCTGAGGGTGGTAAGCGGTAGTCCTGTGCAGCTTAACCCCCAAACCGCCTGCCACAGCGTTCCAGAGCTCGGACGTGAACTGAGAGCCCCTGTCTGAGGAAATGTCTGACGGGGTGCCAAAACGACACACCCACGTTGCAATGAAGGCCCGGGCAACGTCTGCGGCTGATGTCGAAACGAGCGGAACCGCCTCCGGCCAACGGGTCGTTCTGTCCACCATGGTGAGGAGGTAGGAAAACCCCTGAGAGGAAGGCAACGGACCAACCAGGTCAATGTTGACGTGATCAAACCTCCTCTCAGGCACCAGGAAACGCTCCAACGGGGCCTTCGTGTGGCGGTGCACCTTAGCGCGTTGACAAGCCACGCACTCCCTGGCCCAAGTCCTCACGTCCCTTTTCAGTCCTTGCCAAAACTTCGCCGCTACCAAATGCACCGAAGGTTTAACGCCGGGGTGTGACAGGCCGTGCACAGCCTCGAACACAGGACGCCTCCAGCTGGCAGGGACGACAGGCCGCGCCAGGCCCGTAGAGACGTCACACAGGAGAGTAATGCCCGCGTCGCCAAACACCACGTCCTCCAAGCGCAGCCCCGCGCTCTCCACCTTCAGGGCCTGGACGCCGGGATCTGTGACCTGGTCTGCCGCCATGCGAGTATAGTCCAGGCCCAACTGGACGGCACCGATGACGACCCTGGAGAGGCAATCAGCAACCAGGTTCGACTTGCCAGCCACGTGCTTAATGTCCGTAGTGAACTCCGATATGTAGGACAGCTGCCGCTGCTGACGTGCCGACCAAGGCTCCGCCACTTTTGACATGGCGAAGGTGAGCGGCTTGTGGTCGACAAACGCCGTAAATTCACGGCCTTCCAGCATGAAACGGAAGTGCCACACGGCCAAATAAAGTCAGAGGAGCTCCCGGTCAAAGGCGCTGTATTTGCGTTCTCTAGGCGTCAGCTGGCGGCTGAAAAAGGCGAGCGGCTGCCAAGCACCCTCCACCCACTGCTCGTGCACTGCGCCGACCGCGTAGTCTGATGCGTCCATGGTGATGGAGATGGGAGCCGTAGATGATGGGTGTGCCAGCAAAGCCGCCTGAGCCAACGCGGTCTTGACCTCAGCAAAAGCGCCGTCCGCCTCTGCTGTCCAGTCGATCTCCTGGACGGGGGTCTTGCCTTTCAACGCTTCATACAGCGGCCGAATGATGTGTGCGGCCCGGGCGATGAAACGGTGGTAGAAAGTCACCATCCCCAGAAACTCACGGAGCGACCGGGCTGTGAGCGGGCGAGGAAACGCCGCAACAGCCTCCACCTTCGCTGGCAGAGGTGTCGCACCGCCCTTGGTGACGCGGTGCTCCAGGAAATCGATGTTCGACACCCCGAACTGGCACTTTGCAGGATTGATGATTAATCCGTGTTTGTTGAGCCGTGTGAAAAGGGCTCGGAGGTGGGACAGGTGCTCCTGCACTGAAGCGCTGGCGACGAGTATGTCGTCGAGGTAAACAAACACAAACGGCAGGTCCCGCAGCACCGAATCCATCAGGCGCTGGAACGTCTGAGCGGCATTCTTGAGTCCAAAAGGCATCCGCAGGAACTCAAAAAGTCCAAAAGGCGTTATCACTGCTGTCTTGGGAATGTCCAGGGGGTGCATGGGCACCTGGTGGTATCCACGCACCAGGTCCACCTTGGAAAACACCCCCGTACCGGCCAGATGCGCCAAAAAGTCCTGAATGTGCGGCACCGGATAGCAGTCAGGCGTAGTGGCGTCGTTGAGTCGGCGGTAATCCCCGCACGGGCGGAACCCGCCGTTCGATTTGGGAACGACGTGCAGGGGGGAAGCACAAGGACTGTCGGAGCGGTGGACAATGCCCAGGCGCTCCATGGTTGCGAACTCCGCCCTCGCTACAGCCAGCTTAGAAGGGTTCAACCGCCGGGCCCTGGCGTAGACAGGAGGCCCCCCGGTAGTGACGTGGTGTTCCACGCCATGCTTAGTGTTGTATGCTGCGCTGCCAAGTGTGCACACGAGGAAAGAAAACGTTAAGGCATCAACCAAACGCCTATTCTTAACGTCCACTAAGAGTCCATGAGCACACAAAAAATCCGCTCCGAGGAGGGGAAAAGAAATGTCCGCTGTCACAAAATCCCAGCTGAAACGCTGTCCTCCGATGCACAAACACATAGGCCTCACGCCGTACGTGCGAATGGGACTGCCGTTAGCCGTCGTCAATCGCGGTCCGTGCCCCCCACGGGCGACGTCTTCACTCGACGCTGGAACTACGCTCCGTTGAGCGCCCGTGTCATACAGAAACAAGCTCCCCGAAACGCTGTCGCTGACGAAGAGGAGCCTGCACGTGCCGCCGACGCTCAGAGCCACTACTGAGCGCCGGCCCCTCCGTTTCCCGGGGGTTTGTAGCTGCACGGAGCGATGCATCTCTTTGCCCTTGTCCCGAAACGTGCGTGGTAAACGCACTCTCCGGCGTCTCCACGCCGGCTAGCCACAGCCGTGTCCGGCCTCCGCCACGCTTTCTTGACTGCCGGTGGGCCGCTGAGCGTCGCGGCTAAAGTCTCTGCCCCGGGCTGTTGCGTAGCCAGGAAAAAACGATCCGCTTCCTCAGCCAAAGCACGGGGCTCCGTGACAGGCGTGTTGGCCAGCGCCGTCTGTACCCGGGGAGGCAAGTGACGCAGGAAAATCTCTGTGAATAAAATCCGGGGATCTTCCCCCCCCTAGCAGATTTAGCATTTTCTCCATTAGCTGGGATGGCTTGCTGTCTCCTAGGCCTTGAATGTCAAGTATCTGGCGGGCCCTCTCCTTAGCAGATAAGCTAAATGTCTTAAGGAGAAGGGCCTTAATCGCCTCATATTTGCCATGATGTGGGGGGGCTGCGATGAATCCCACCAACCTGGACGACGTGGAGCTCCCCAGCGCTGCTACCACATGGTAGTATTTTAGGTCCCCGTCACGGACCTGTCGGCAGGCGAAATGTGCCTCCACGTGTGCGAACCATGCCTCCGCGGCGTGCTCCCAGAATTCCGGCAGCTTTATGAAAACATCGCGCTCAGCCATGTTCGTTAATTTTCCGGAAACTTTCTCGGAAAAGTCAGGGTCACCAGTGTAGTGCCGTGAAAAGAGAGTCGGAGGCGGTGTATTAAGAATGGAGTTCCAATCTTTATTATCCATTACTTTCAGAGAGGTTAACACATGCACTGCTCTGCCTGATGAGCTAGCAGGAATGGCAGCTAAAGCTACAGGTATTCCCCACTAAAGGGTCCGTGTGGCAACACAATAAGCAAGGTGAATTATGTCCAATAACGTGTCACCACACTATTTACATTCTTATTTTGACCATTAAAGGTGGGGTAGGTAAGTTTGAGAAACCGGCTCGAGATACACTTTTTGTTATATTCCATGGAATGCTCTTAACATCCCGATAGCAATGAATATCTTAAGTGCTTTGACAAAAAATCCATAAAAAAATTTCATCTGTGGAAGCCGTAATACTGTAAAAAGTACGACCAATCTGTTTAGCCGGGCGCCCTGTCTCTCAGCCTTCCATCTTGTGCACGCACAAATGTATCTCGTGCCCTCATTGAGCGTGCCGTCATTGGGCGTGCAGGCCGAGGCTATATACAGGACGGTCCTGTACACAACGCCAAATGGCTATATACAGGACCGTCCTGTACACAGCTCTCTGAAATGGCTATATACAGGACGGTCCTGCACAGAAGCCCTGAAATGGCTATATACAGGACGGTCCTGTATATAAGGTCTCTGAAATGGCTATATACAGGACGGTCCTGTATATAAGGTCTCTGAAATAGCTATATACAGGACCGTCCTGTATACAAGCTCCGAAATGGCTATATACAGGACCGTCCTGTATATAGCCATTTCAGAGAGCTGTTTACAG